TTGTACCAGAACCAAGCTGTTTTGACCACTGTAGCCATGTAGTATATTTTAAAGTCGGGGAGTGACAGGCCTCCAACCTTCTTGTTCTTAAGCAGTGCTCTGCTTATCCTGGGTCTCTTTCCTTTCCATATAAAGTTTATAATTGCTTTTTCCATCTCTTTGAAGAATGTTGTTGTAGGGTTAGGTTTTATTGATCCCTTAATACACTCCCATCAGTAAGCCCATTGTTGTTGAATGGATTCTTGCCCATGGCACTCCATGTGTCTTGAGTAAAACTGTGCTCCATAGGGTTTCTTTGAGGCTGATTTTCCAGAAACAGATTGCCAGTCTTTTCTTCTGGATGGACTCAAACTTCCAATCTTTGGTAAGTATCTGAGCATGTTAACCATTTGCACCACCCAGAAGCTCTTAACTCACTCCAAAGACTTTTTTTCTTTCCATCCTGTGGGTTGGCTCAGCACATCTTCATACTGTCAACTTCCGACTCCATTTGTCCTTCCAGGAACAGCTTTCTGTCAACTCAGCTTAGAACAGGAATTTCTAAAGCTTTTCTTCACCTTGTGGATTTCCTCCAATGTGTCTTAGTTTTCTAGTGCTGCTAAAACAGAAATATCAAAAATGGGTGGCTTTTATAAACAGAAATTTATTCTCTCACAATTTAAGAGGCTTGTGGTTGTTGTTGTTGTTAGGTGCCATGTGGTCAGCACTGACTCATAGAGACCCTATGCACAACAGAACAAAACACTGCCTGGCCCCGGGCCAACCTCATAATTGTTGCTAAGCCTGAGTCCATTGCTGCCACTACTGTGCTAATCCATCTCTTGGGAGTCTCCCTCTGTTTCTCCAACCCTCCACTTTACCAAACATGATATCCTTTTCCAGGGAGTGGTCCCTCTTGGTAATATGTCTGAAGTACAAGAGACGAAGTCTGGCCAACTTGGCCTTCAAGGAGCATTCTGGCTGTACTTCTTCCAACACAGATTGTTTTTTTTTTTTTTTTTTTTGACAGTCTATGGAACTTTTAATATTTTCCTCCAACACCATAATACAAATGTGTCAATTCTTCTATGATCTTCCTTATTGTCTGTCCAACTTTCACATGCGTATGAGGCTGAAAATACCATGGTTTGGATAAGGCACACCTCAGTCCTCAAACTGACATCTTTGCTCTTCAACACTTTAAAGAGATTTTGTGCTGCAGATTTGCCTTATGCAATACATTGTTTGATGTCTTGACTGCTGCTTCCATGAATGTTGATGGTTGATCCAAGCAAAATGAAGTCTTTGACAACTTCAATCTTTTCTTCAT